CACGTTTCAAGCTGGGAAGTCGTTTTACGGCTCAGTGAAGGGTGCAGCTGCCCGTGTGCGGACACGTCCCACTCCCGGCCGCGTCATGTCACGTGTGGTTAAGGCTGGACAGTACTTCAACCCCAAGGACAGCGGAACCAGCAGGGAGCAGAGGCCCCCAGACCCCCACACCTCCTGGCTGGAGCTTTCGTTCCAGAGATGGGGAACCTGAGGCCCTGAGGACTCACTGGGCCCAGAGGAGGACGGAACACCACGAGAGCCACGCGGGCCACCGAGGCCGAGGTGGACACACCTTTGTGGTCACACGCCTGGGTGACGGGCCCCTCTCCAGCCAGCGAACACTGAGCACGGAGCCAGCACTGCGCAGCTGGCACCCCCATCCCCCGTCCCCGAACACACCCCAGCGGGACGAGGCAGGGTTCCCACGCGAGCCGTGCCTCCCGGGGTGGAGGGAGCCCTCCGGGTGAGTCCCAGGGAGCTCCGACAACTGATTTCTTGCAAACCCCGTGAAGCGTCACGGACCACATTGTACTTCCACGGGGCGACGCAAGCCACACCCCGAGATGGGGACCCCAGATCCTGAGCAGGAGGTCTCGCCTCGCTCTCCTGCCCCACCCACTCCCTGCCTCCTGCTCTGGGGCGCTGGGCCCTGCCAGGCCTCGGCAGGACGGTCCTGCTGGGGCGCCAGCCCTGCTCTCCAGCAGTTCCTACTTGGGCTCCAAGGCCCAGCTGTCACCTCCTCTGAGAAGTCTTCCCTGATTTCTAAACTGGCATTACCTAGCCCCACTCTGGGCTCCCACAATGTCACTCCTCTGTGTGCAGCCCTGGGTGAGGGGCTCCCCAGTTCAGGCGTCTCACCCCAGGCCGGCCCAGGACTCAGGCAGGTATGAGACAGGAGGAGCAGCACCCCCAGGCTCCCAGGAGCACCCCAGAATAGAGGGGTTCTCAGGAAGGGCTAAGCCGTATGCAAATGCAGGGAACTTCTCATTAGAGCAACCTGAGAACAGGTCCCCCGGGTTGCCTGAGAAAGCGGTTTTTAACTGGCAATATTTCGTGTTAATTTTTCCAGCCAGCTGCCGTCTCATTCAGTTATACATTATTCAGTGGCCTCAAAAGTGAGCTCAGAGCCCTTGAGAACATCATCTCAGCCCAGTGTCATCAGTTCAAACGCGCTCCGGACCTGAGACCCGTGCTGCCCACCCACGGCCGTGGGCCCCCAAACGTGGCGAGCCCAGCTGAGCCGAGCTTCCGGTCACACAGCGAGCATCGGCCCCACTGACGACCTGTCGTGGAGCTTACGTGTCAAGCTAGATGATGTTGTGCATATATTGGGTTAAATAAAAACACATCCACTTCGCCCGTTCCTGTTCCTTTTCTTTGTTGCCGCGGCTACTAGAAGATCCACAGGTGCGCAGGTGGCCCGGGTGCGGGTCTCCGGACGGTGCGGCCACGGCCACGGGCACCGGAGGAACGGCCACGGGCCTGGTTAGACGGACGGGCCCCGGGTCCCTGCCGGAGTGCCGTGCGCTCGCCGGGGCTGTGCTCCCCTGTGTCGTCCCCGAAGCAGACAGACACCACAAGTCACACAGAGGGAAACCGAGGCACAGAACGGTGGGAAATCTGCCAGAAGCCACGCAAGTAGGACACGACAGAGCCAGGGCTCCCCGGTCTGCCCGACACGACGGTCTGGGAACAAGGGTGGCGGGAGCAGGCAGACTCAGGCTGTAGGCAGGCGGGAGGCGGCCTTTACCGCGGACCTGTGTCCAGTACTGAGGCTGCAGGTCCTCAATAACCCGCCAGGCCGCGGAGACAGTGGGGGCTGTGGGGACCGAGACGCCCGTCAGGACGGCCTCTAGGGAAGGTCCACGTGGGAGACCCACACCTCTCCTCCAGTGCTCCCCCCTCTTGCAGACTTGGGGGGCAGAAGTGTCTCCCTCCCCGTTCTATTTCCAGCTCCCAGAAATCCAGGAAGTGCTTAGCAACAACCTGGCAACTGAACACACACACGGCTGAATGAATGAATGAGTGAATGAATGAGTGGATGAATGAGTGAGTGGATGAATGAGTGAATGAGAGCGAATGAGTGAGTGGATGAATGAATGAATGAATGAAAGCCGACATCGGGCCCTCGCCCATGGCGGTCCCTCACCAGTGCCCCAGAAGCCACACCAGGTTCCCTGCATGGGACAGAGAGCGGCAGGTGGGTCCGTGTTTGACGGTCCCCAAACAGCTGTGGAACGCAGGTCTGGGCGACTTCTGACGCCTGGCCAAGGAGAGCCCAAGGGGAAGAGAGCAGGTTCTGCTCAGAATGTCACTCCCTCCGCCCTGGCCGCCCGCAGGGGAAGGGGGCTGCCCCACTCCGGCGACACGCACAGCCACAGCCTCCGCCAGCGGCAGCCAGGTGAGAAACGGCATCGCTGTGTGTCTTGTAAACGGCGATAATGGATAATATCAACCCCGGGTCCGGGGGGACAGGATGCTCGGAAATCTTGCTCCTCCGTGGAAGGAGAAGGGGGAGAAAAGCATGAAAAATTTATTAAACTGGAGCCGCTGGGACCACAGCGCAAGTTAAAGACTCGAATTCATCCCGTCCCTACAATCCATGATTTATGTTTGCAATAACGGCGGCCGTGAGGAGCTCGGGGGACCAAGAGGCTCGCTCCGGTGTCGAGTGGCGCTCCTGAGCTGTGCGGGGCCGCTCGGCCCTGGCTGCCCCCGCATCCGAGAGATTCTGCCCCATGCACTCGGTCACGCTGGACGGGGCAGAGAAAGGGGGCGTGGGCGCCCCGGTCGCTGCTGCCTGATGCTCCGAGCAGGAACCTCAAAACCGACTGCACCCGAGGCGGCGGAGGGGAGGGCCCTGGCCGTGTCCCAGCTGCACATGGGGCCCTCGGTCTGCTGACCACTGAGGGCGGTTTCCGGAGGGCACGGACCCCCACCTCAGGTCGGGGACTTGGGAGAAAGGGCGAATCATGATGGGCCTCGCCCTCGGCATGGACAGGGGGCTCCCCAAGCTCTGGGGGCTCCGACTTTGCATGGCAGAGACGCTAGGGCACAAATGGGGAGTCACAATGCTAGCTGAGTGGCAGGGACCAGGGCATCCGCTCGCTAAGCCTCAGTTTCCCTATCTGTAAAGTGGGGATACCTGCAGAACAGACCTCAGCGAGCCACTGGGGCGATGGGTATACAGAGAGGAGGCAGCAGCACCTGGCCCCACGAAGGCTCGGTCTCGGGCACCGGGGCTTGTCTCTGCCATGGGCACAGCCCGAGCCGCTGGGAGACCTGGACGGAGGCCAGGCCTCAGGAACCTCCCAGGCTCTGGGAGACAGGCATTTAGGCCTCACTCACTGTGCACCCCACGCAAGCCAAATGGGTAGGTGCTCTGCAGGGTGGGTGGGACGGTGATGCTGGCTGGGTGGGAGTATGAGGGGTTTCCCAGGGGGAGACACCCAGTCCTGGATTGGGCAGACACAAAGGGTCTCCAAGGTGGCTGGTGGGCGGGGGGGTCGTCCAACCCTCAGTTCAGCCAGCAAGAGGCTGAAAGGGGATGGAGGGCGGGGGGCTGGGGATCCTCACCCCTGGGGAACCTCCTTCCAGTCCAGGCCCTCTGAGCCTCGGTGTCCTCATCCCTACAGGTGGGGTGAACACGTCTGCAGTCAGCCCCACACTCAAAGGACAGGCGCGTTGGCTTTCTGTCATCTTCTCAGTCCCACTCTGGTCCCGGGACTGGTCAGAGCGGGCGTGGCGTCCAGGTGGGCTGCCCAGGCCCCCGCTGTGCCCTCCAGGGTGCTCCCCAGCCCTCACCCACATGGGGTTGACCAGACGTCTCGAAGAGCTCCATGCCCCCCGTGGGCTCCCTGCAGGGCCCGGGAAGCGGGCTGGTGGCAGCTGCCCCCTGGGGTTTCATTCACGTAAACAAGGCGATCGGGCCACCGCACAACGCTGACCCCTGGTTTCTGAATGACCCGGACGGTTTGAAATAGAGAGGACCCCGCTAAGGACATCTGCCTGGCCAACACCGAGGCGGCGTGGATGCAGATGGACAGAAGCCCAGCCAACGCTGCTCTCGTCCTGGCCTGTGCTCTATGGGGAAGAGAAACGGGGACACTAGAGTCTCCCCAGAAAATACAACCCTTTATCGGGGACCAAATCGTCTGCCCTCAGGCAGGAAAGAGGCTCCCCCTCAGCAGGGCGGTCCAGGGCTCTCTGCCGGGCCTGAGGGCAGCGGCCAGCCAGGTCAGGGGCCACCAGCAGCCCCCCCCAGAGCCTGGGCAAGCCTGTCGCTGCTAGGGCTCGGGCTCCCCGCCCTACAGAATGGGGTACCCCTGCCTCCTCCCTCCGCCGCCCCTTCTCAGGGAAGCGGCTGGGCCCTGGGTAGAGGCCACACGATGCCACCGCAGCCACAGCTGAACCTGCAGAGCCGGGCCATCTCTTCAGGGCTCCTGTCGGTCCTGGGGCGCCCCGGGCTGCCAGGCGAACCCCCCCCAAATGGATGGCCAGGCCGGGGCTGTGTGCGGGTGCCACAAGGAGTCCTCAGAGACAGGAAGGAGGCAGGAACGAAGCATCACAAAGACAGGGCCACCCAGAAAAGGGAGACACCCCTGTGGCTTTAGGCGGCCTGGGCTCAGCCCCATGCCGCCCTGTCGGGACACCAGACAACCCGGGCCCACACTCTGCCCCTGTGGTGGCCCTTGCTCCAAGGACCCCAGCTCTGGAGATGCCCACATCCCCCAACCCGGCATCCAGGTGCAGAAACACCTCCTTCAGGAAGTGACCTGGGGAGAAAGACACTCCGTGTCCCCCCAGACACGCTGGGAGCCTTCCAACGCGGAGGGAGGTGCGAGGTGCAGACGTGCTCCTGATTGAGGGCGCGCAGAAGCCCCCACTCCCACTCTGCCGGGGCCCCGCACCCACAGCCAGGCAGGAGGGGGTGTCTCTGAGACTCCGGGGGGCCCCGTGCACCCGCCCTACCCCCGCCCTGCCCCCGCCTGGTTCCTTACTCAGCCAGCTCCTCCAGGCTGCGGTACACGTCGTCCTCGTCCTCCGCGGTCTCCTCCGAGGGGAAGGGCCTGGGGAGAAGAGCAACAGTGAGATGGGGTCCCTGGGGCCCTGGGGCGGGCCTGGGGCGGCTCTGCCGCGGGAGCACACGGCCCGTCTGTCTGCTTCTCACGGAAGGCAACGGGGTCCGTGTGACACGCGTGTCACAGAGCCAGCCAGGCAGACGTGCGGGGTGAGGAGACCCACGCCCGGCCTGGACCCTACAGCCTCCCCTCCCCCCTGTGCCCGGTGTCCCCGTGGCAAACCAGAGAACTGGGTCAGGGACGGCAGGACGCTCTCCTCCCATGTGACAATCCAGCCTCCACGCTCCAAGGGAACTCTCGAAAGGGGGTGTGGGCTCCCCTGGGCATCCTCAGGGACAGCTGCCAGGTCCAACACCCGGAGGAGGGCCCCCAGGGGGGAAGCTGCCAGGGAGGGCGAGCTTCCGGAGAGCCTGCCCTGCACCCCCAGGGTAGCGCGCTTTGGGGACAGAAGACCATGGCAGCATGTGGTGTGGGGTGGCTGCGCACCACCTGTACTCACTGACCCCTGAGAGGGGAATGGCGCTCACCCCCACGCCGCCCACCCGGAGGCCAGCCTCCGGGAAGGAAGATGGGCCGGAGAGCCCACTAACTGCCTCCGGGGGGTGGGGGCTCCTTCAAGCCCACCCACCTCTGGAGGGAGAGGAAAATGCCCTTTAATTGAACCAAGCACCTCTGCAGCCAGGGACAGGAGTTCTGGTAGGAGGCCCCTTACTGAGATCTCGTAGGGAGACCCCGCTGTGGTTTTCTCGACCTAGTCTGCTTGCATGTGCTCGGCAGGGGCTGGGGGGAGGGGATCAGAGGCCTGGGGGCCTGGGGAGGGGCTCCACTGAGCCAGGAGCTAAAGGCCTGGGTCCTGCCCAGCTGTCCCAGACCTGCCGTGACCCTGGTTCTGACCTGCCAGACCAATGGTGCCCTTTCCCATGGCTTCATGCAGTAACCCAAGTCCAAGGGGCAGCGTGACCCCGCATGACCTCTCTGAGGTGGGCTCCCTCTCCTCTCGGCAGCCCTCCCCCTTCCTCCCATCACCATGACAACGGCATCCCCACTGGGCATCCTGTGGCAGGAAGGGAGGAGCACAGCAGTGAGCCCAGGTCACAGGGAGAACTGCAGGCCACCAGGACACACCTGCCATCAGCAAGCGAGGGCCCCTCGCTGACCAGCCCCACGCTCAGCCGGGAAGTCACTCCCAGCACACAGAGCCGGGGCTGACCCCGACCCTGCTGGGTGGGGCGTGGGCTGGGAACCCAGCCCGGTTCCTAATCTGCCCGAGTGCCGCAGGTTCTGGCCCACCCAGGTGACCACGGAAAGTGCTGGAACGTTCAACCAGGCTGAGAAGAGGTTGTGGGTCCCCAGAGGTAGAGCATCCCCTCCCCAGCCACCTCGCGGGCATCTCCGCCTCTTCCCAGTGGTCGGTGTTACTTCCAGACCGGGAAAAGACACAGTGGACGAGGTGAACACCGGTCATGACGCAGGGACTATACTTAAGGCCGAAGTCATTTTATTTTATGAGCGCCACTTAAGACTGACAAGGAGGGGCACCTGTGCCCCACCCCCTGCTGGAGGGTCCACCTTCCAGCTGGGCGTCAGCAAACCCAGGCCCACCGCCCCCTGCTCCTGCCCGGCAGACATCACCAATCAGGACCACCGCCCCCTGCTCCTGCCCGGCAGACATCACCAATCAGGACCACCCCCTGCTCCTGCCCGACAGACATCACCAATCAGGACCACCCCCTGCTCCTGCCCGGCAGACATCACCAATCAGGCCCACCGCTCCCTGCTCCTGCCCGGCAGACATCACCAATCAGGCCCACCGCCCCCTGCTCCTGCCCGGCAGACATCACCAATCAGGCCCACCGCTCCCTGCTCCTGCCCGGCAGACATCACCAATCAGGACCACCCCCTGCTCCTGCCCGGCAGACATCACCAATCAGGCCCACCGCTCCCTGCTCCTGCCCGACAGACATCACCAATCGACTGCAGCGCTCCCCACGCCTGAAGCCCGGTGCAGGGTCTGGACACGGGGCTGCCCCTCAGGCGAGCGAGGCTTTCAGAGGGAGCCACCTGCTCTGCCAGGTAGGGCGGGGAAGCACAGGGACGGCTGGGAGCAAGGCACACGAGGTCTGAACCCCAGAACCACCACTCTCTGTGTGACCCGCAAACGCTACTTAAAGTCTCTGTGGCCCAGTCCTCTGCCCTGAACGTGGACTGGGAGCCCCTGCCGGGTGTAAGGGGGGGGGGGGGCACTGTGACGCAGGCGGCTCTGCACCTGGCAGGACCCCGAACCGTCGCTTCCACTATCATGTCCGTTCTCCTCCTCACCCAGGCTGCTCCGACCAGCCCCCTAGGCAGCGTGTTCGGGGCTTGTTTCCGACCAGACAACAGAGCTGGTGCTCGCTACACCGAGGACACAGAAGTCGCCTCAAAACCTTCCGTCTGCTTTTAAAGCAGGAATTGGTCCTATGTGTGGCTGTTTTCATTGCCCTGTTCCGTGGCTGTCGGCGTCCTGGGGGTCCTCTTCTCTGCCTTCTCCTGTCCTGTCCAGCGGGGACTGAGGGCCAGAAGGATCACCTGCTGCCCACAAATCCACTTTCACGCGAACATCCCCAGGGGGCCACAAATGCCCTTGAGAATGGAGCCCCAAATCAATGACTTCCTGCTACAGCCAGGGTGGGCGGAGAGGAGAGGGGGGCCTCCTACTTGGGATGATGACAGTGAGGCTGGCCCCGAGATGGGGCAGGAGTGCCCGCGACGGGGAGGCCACGCACCTGCAGCCAGCGTGAAGCTCCTCCCTCTGCTTCATCCCCTGTCCCCCCCATTCCACCAAGTCTTCACGCACCTTCAAGACTCAATTCAAGACCTCACGGGGGAAGACAGGACCACTCCTCTCAGCCTGGGTCCACTTCCACCTGGCACAGTGCCTGGCACCAGGATGGATGGATGGTGGATGGTGGATGGATGGGTCGTGGACGGGGGATGGATGGATGGATGGATGGTAGATGGATGGTGGATGGATGGGTGGCGGATGGATGGATGGATGGATGGATGGTAGATGGATGGGTCGTGGACGAAGGATGGATGGATAGATGGATGGTGGATGGATGGATGGATGGTGGATGGATGGGTCGTGGACGAGGGATGGATGGATAGATGGATGGTGGATGGATGGATGGATGGTGGATGGATGGGTGGTGGATGGATGGATGGATGGTGGATGGATGGGTGGTGGATGGATGGTGGATGGGTGGGTGGTGGAAGGATGGGTGGTGGATGGATAGTGGATGGATGGATGGAAGGATGGGTGGATGGATGGATGGGTGGTGGATGGAGGGTGGTGGATGGGTGGATGGATGGATGGTGGTGGATGGAGTGGGGCTGTGCTGGATGGTGGATGGAATGGATGGTGGATGGATGGTTGGTGGATGGTGGATGGATGGGTGGTGGATGGATGGGTGGTGGATGGATGGTGGATGGATGGTGGTGGGATGGGTGGTGGATGGATGGATGGTGGATGGTGGATGGATGGGTGGTGGATGGATGGATGGATCGGTGGTGGATGGGTGGGTGGTGGATGGATGGTGGATGGATGGTGGATGGATGGGTGGTGGATGGATGGATGGTGGATGGATGGATGGATGGATGGATGGTGGTGGATGGGTGGTGGATGGATGGATGGATGGGTGGTGGATGGGTGGGTGGTGGATGGATGGTGGATGGATGGTGGATGGATGGGTGGTGGATGGATGGTGGATGGATGGGTGGTGGATGGATGGTGGATCGGTGGTGGATGGGTGGATGGATGGATGGTGGATGGATGGATGGTGGATGGATGGATGGATGGATGGTGGATGGATGGGTGGTGGATGGATGGATGGATGGATGGTGGATGGATGGGTGGTGGATGGATGGATGGATGGATGGATGGATGGTGGATGGATGGGTGGGTGGTGGATGGATGGGTCGTGGACGAGGGATGGATGGATGGATGGTGGATGGATGGGTGGTGGATGGATGGTGGATGGATGGTGGATGGGTGGATGGTGGTGGATGGGTGGTGGATGGATAGTGGATGGATGGATGGAAGGATGGGTGGATGGAAGGATGGGTGGTGGATGGGTGGGTGGTCGATGGATGGTGGGTGGATGGATGGATGGTGGATGGATGGTGGATGGATGGTGGATGGATGGTGGTGGGTGGATGGTGGATGGATGGGTGGTGGATGGATGGATGGTGGATGGATGGATGGACAGATGAATGGTGGATGAGTGTCTGGAAGACAGATGGTGGGAGTGACTGGATCTGTGGGTTGAAGGGCAGGTGAACGGATGGCCAGGAAGACAGGTGGGTGGATTCGTGGGGGGTGGATGGGTGAACAGATGGATGCATGCCAGACACTCTCAAGCTGTTCCTCCCCTAAAACAAGTGGCAGCTCCTAGATCAGAGAACACAGAGGTGTTCAAGTCACCACTGAGCTGTGATGTTACAACACTGACCCCAATGTTAACACTGGGGAGACTCATTTGCACACAGGGTGCTGGGGCAGTTTCTGGGGCCACATTCCAGCTGTAAGGTAAACCTAGGAGGGGCTGGGGCAGGTGTGACCGGTCACTCTGCCATGAGACCTGACTCCATCCTGTCTCAGCACCAGGTGGTCTTCCAGACCCCACTGTGTGCCCCTACCCCCCTCAACTTGCCCTCCCTGGCTAGAGCAGACATCCAGACGTGAACGGTGGCACTGAGAGGTCCCTCAAGAGGAGGGGATGCAAAGCGAGCATGACCAAGCTCTCTGCACAGACATGACCGTGGGTGAATACTGAATGCGCTCATCCAGGCCTCCCCCACCCCCCGGGGCAGGCTGGGCTCCTCTCACCCCATCTGGACCTCCTTGAGGGCGCCTCTCCTGGTGCCCAGCCCCTGGGAAGCCAGGCTCCCCACTTGCAGCACCGAGGGATTAAGGGGATGCCTGTGCAGGAAGCAGAAAATCCCGGCCA